ACTAGGTCGGCAAGAGCTGGGACAAGCGGCGGGAGTTCATTCTGTCACCTGGATTCGATCTTGGTCTTCTGACCTTGCAGCACAGAGGCATCTGCGGTTTAGCCTGCAGCGCCACCACGTCCCTTAAGGTCCATAATCTAAAACTATTGTTAGAGCCATCAGGATCATAATTACTGAGGAAATTACATTTTAGACAATACTGTGAACAGATTCAAAATTGGCTAATGTCACTATGGAAACTTCTAAAAGAAAGCCATATTTACATTTAACATTTATTTTCTCTACGAAAAAAATCTTATTATTTTCTTCATTACATTTGTGTGATCATTATTTTTTCAAAGTATGGTATTTCAAAGCATCATTTAATAGACCAAGTACTATAGGGTGGCTCATAAATGTTTTCTATACAAAGTGAAGCAAGAAACTAGAGAAGCTATCCTTGATTTGATGCTAACAAACAGATACTAACTGGTGAAAGAAGTGTTAGTAAAAGAAACTCTGGGAGAAAATGACCTTGTTCAACTCGAGTTCTTGATTTCAAAGGGGAAAAAAACAGAGTGTAGTCACATGTGTACACTGGATTTTAGGAAAGCCAATTTTAATGAGTTCAGAACAATAAGTAAGGTTCCATGGCAGGAGTCCAAGAAGGGTGAGGGTTTCTAAAATGGGAAATTCTAAATGGACAACTAAAAACAATCCCAACAAGAAGCAAAGGTGGGAAACAGCCAAAAAAAAAAAAAAAAAAAAAGGCTGGTGTGGCTTCACAAAAAGCTCAGAGAGGACTGAATACAAATAACAAACAAATTAAAACACATATAGGAAGTGGAAAGGAGGCCAGACCAAAAAGGAAGAATATAGACAACAGCCAGAAATTGCAGGGATCACATTAGGAAGGCAAAGGCTGAGAATGAGTTGAGGTTACCTAGAAATACTAAAAGTAACTTAAAAGCATTCTTCAGGTACATGTGTACTTGTGTAGCAAAAGACAAAGAAAATAAACAGTGGCTCAGCTACTCAATGAAGATGGAAAAATGGTAACTTGATCTCCGGAAGTCTCCAAAATGGATCCCCCATCTAAAAGTAGGAAAAATGAGATTGCTAGGCATAAAATAAGACCTATGTGTCTACCAACATATTTTGTTTAGTTTAAATTGGCTGACATGGGTTTTGACTCTGGACTGAAGAAGGCTTATCACTCTTCTAACATGGTGCATTCCTCTACCAATATTGAAAAGTTACCAAATGTTTAGGAGTCAATCCCATACATTGCTTAAATATGGTTAATAAGAATTACCTTGTAAGCTCTGTCTCCTAGGCAGCAGGTAACTAAGTACATGCTGGATGTTTTTTTTAAACCTATTCCTAAAACATATACTTTTCTTTCACTTTGCTGAGAAGTAGAAGGGGAAAGAAGAAGAGCAAGGGGTCAGAGTAACTATACAGAAGGGGAAGCAGTGGTTGAATGTTTTGTTTTTATGAGAAAATGTATACAACCACAAAGTTTGTTGTTTAGCAACATCCTGAACCATGGTAACAACATAGGACAGGCCAAATGAAAACGGAGGATGGGACAATGACTAATATGGGGTGGAGAATAGCATCAGCTAATCAGAAAAATTGTATCACATAATTTTCCTGTCCAAGGTCATGCTCCCACAACCATTTAATTGAACAAATCTATTCTGCTTCTATTTTCACTGATGAAAGAAAAAAGCAAAGAGAAGTCCATATCCCTACATCTCATCCACATTCATTATAGCCTCACTTCGGTGTCTGTCAAGATGTTTCTGTGCAGAGAAACAAACCATTAAGAAAACAAAAAACAAACCACCACAATATAATTTTGAAGTGTTTCTTTAGCAAATAGGATTCTCCTTGTTTGAAGAAGTCCCCAGTATCCTGCAAGCATTATGCAGAAGTAATTATGTTCATAAATAAGTTTATCTCTGCTTATAATCATGTATATACTGTATATGTAGTGCAGTGAAAAGGACTGTCTTCCTTAAATGTCTTATATCATTTATATTCATTCAGAAGAAAAAAAGCCAAATGGACTATTCCTACATTATAACAGTTGCCAGTGGAGGTACAATCCACACACACTTTTGATGCAGTTATTAGCCCAAAATGAATACAATTATACAATAAGCTATTTCCATCCAATTGTGAGGCCAAATATTTGGAAAAACTTTTAATTGTCACAACTGGGTTTGCAAAGTCAAATGTCACGCAATGCACATTCATTGTGGTAATTATGCCAATATTAGGAATCTGGCCTAAGGGAACTTTAATTAAGTCTCTGCTGCTAACACCGCCTTAATATGGTAAATAGAAAAGCCAATTAGATTTGCATAAGCCAGGGAGTTAGGAAAGTTTTAAGGATCAGATCATACTTTTGCGCTATTAAGGAGCAAGCCGGGTAGGTGGGGCTCGTCAGCCATGGAAGTCAGCCCATCTAGGAGAAGGAAAACTCCGATTTCAAACCTCCATTGCCTTGTGGCTATATCCACCAATGGAAAAGGCTCCAGGAGTTAACCTCGAGGCAAAATCCGGAGCTGGAGTCCCGAAGGCAGCTCGTGTCATTCTGCCAACTCCTGCGACGTTGCTGGAACCAGTCGTATTGGCTCTTGCCTTTCCATTGGACCATTTCAGCAATGTGGAGAGGGGGGATCTGCTGCTTGGGTAACAGCCTCTCCTCCATATTACCTTACCCGGGCTTCATGCTCTGGAGAGGACACTCCTCGATTCAGAGCATGTTACCATAGTCTCTCGAGACTGAAGGATGCCTATGATGATGATGAATCATGTATATACTATATATATAGTGCAGTGAAAAGGACTGTCTTCCTTAAATGTCTTATATCATTTATATTCATTCAGAAGAAAAAAAGCCAAATGGACTATTCCTACATTATAACAGTTGCCAGTGGAGGTACAATCCACACACACTTTTGATGCAGTTATTAGCCCAAAATGAATACAATTATACAATAAGCTATTTCCATCCAATTGTGAGGCCAAATATTTGGAAAAACTTTTAATTGTCACAACTGGGTTTGCAAAGTCAAATGTCACGCAATGCACATTCATTGTGGTAATTATGCCAATATTAGGAATCTGGCCTAAGGGAACTTTAATTAAGTCTCTGCTGCTAACACCACAGAACACAAGAATTCTTAAGGATATTTTTCTTACCTACCTTAAAAGCAGCATGGAAGATGAGGAATATGCCTAATTTTATACTCTTTGAGATCAAGATAAAATAGTGTAATGTTTTTAATCAACACTGCTATAGTAGTAAGGTACCAGAGCTTTTTAAATCATCATCATCTGACTTATGGCAACCCTTTTCAGGGTTTTCTAGGTAGATAGTACTCAGAATTGATTTACCACTTCCTTTGCGGGGAGGGGGCACACCATGGGACCTTGCAGTTTGTCCAAGGTCACATAGACTGGTTCTATTCACAGGAGCACAGTGAGGAACTAAACTTCCAACCTTGGGCTTTACCACCATAGTACTGCCAATATCTTTTTATAGTACAACAGTTGTGATTTTTGCAAAGGATTTTTTCTTTACTGTGTAATTTTATATGGACTTTAAATCATTCTTTGAAACAGGACTGATCTACTTCCACAGGTCTTGAGAGTCCACATAGTCACTTAGGGACACTGAAATGCTCCCCCAACTCCAGCATTCCACTTTTTTTCCCTTTTTTCTTGGGGAGGATTTTGGCTGAATATGGCCCCTAGGCTACAATTTGCCTACCGTTACTTTAAAGTCATCACTGCCTATTAATGGTGATTCCTCTAGCTGCAGAGAGAATCTTAAGAATTAAGTGGAAGGTGGTTATTAAACATAATCGTAATGGCTTGGATCCAGGCATGTCCCATGTGTGTGGAAAGGCACTTAAATTTGATAAAGACGCCAATGAAATATCCCAGTGGTCTCATCACACCACAGCACGTGTCTCCCTCACATATCATTTCAGAAGACTTGCAGGAGAGATTAAGGGAACTATGACGAGAGAGAAAAATCCCTATTATAGAAAATTCTACTTGGATATGTCTGAATCCAACCCAACAAGTGAGATTGCAAAGTTGAAGAATACCTATATGGGACAGTAAAAACCTAGAGTTCCTGACAAATTTTTAATAATTTGAAATAGTTCTCCAACATTACACTCACATGCATGCATGTTTCCTAAAGTACATCTTGTATCCAATAGTATAGAGCAAAAGAAAAAGTAAGATCTATGAGATTTCTTTATAAGCACTAAAATTTCTACAGTACTTTAGTATGAGACACTTTATATTACAAAAGGAGACTGAGAATTTATTCCTTGACATTTTATATTTTATCTTACCTAGATTTTAAAACAGGATTTTAAATTAAAATTTAGGAAAAGATTTAAATCAAATCGGCAAAACACTTTAAATAAGCACATTTAAAATTTGTTTTACAACAACTTATTGATAATGTCCCAAGAAAGTTACACTAATTTCAGATTAAGACACATCTAGCATAATTTAAAAGAGAGAGAGAGAGAGATTGAAACCACCTATCATATATCTCTTGCTTTCATATTGAAAAGTATGTAGACAGATGCAGCGTTTAATGTAATTCTTATGTCTGTGGGGGAAGTAAATCACTGGAGTATCTGTCAAACTTAAATGAAAGAGCTCGTTTTATGTCAGTGTGTTAGCATTTTGTCTGACTTAAAAGTCATTTATTGTTCTATGTATTTTGAGGGGCAGAGACATCAACAGCATAGTGTACACATGCACAATCCAAAAAGATCACAAATGCATGCAATAACAGTTAAGATATTGGTTGTTTGGTTGCCTGAGTGGCTGGTTCCAGGGGGAGGAGGGGAGGGAACCAGGGAGGGAGGGACAGAAATAGGGAAGGCAAAAAAAAGGAATTTCTATAACACTGTCAGGAGCGGGAAGCAGTGATCAGCTGCATGCACTTTACGTACGGTGGAACACATATACCATACCTGAGGGGTGAGCCGATGAGCAATGAAGGAGGGGTAGGGTTATTCCCTGCATTGTGACGGCGCCGTACTGCCTGACGCCTAAATGTGCTGCGCTCACGACGAACTGAGACCGCCTCCTCACTGGTTTTTGCTGCTGCATTAAGACAGACCAAGTCAAATTGGAGCCCAGTCCAGTTATGCACACAGCACTGTATTGCTTTCCCCCATAAGTAAGAATTGTCCCTTGTGCTGAAAGTAACTTAATAATTTCAAATTTAGAGAGTTTTGAGGTGGGATTCAACCTAGAAGAAGTTCTCCTCAAGTGTCTTTTCCCAGTAAATGGGGAAATAGATGTAGTAAGAAGAACTTCTTGGCTAAGAAGTGTTTGGATGCAACATCATAGTACTGTTTAAATTTGCCACACCCAAAATTAGCACAGCCATGATCATGTCCAACCTCTAGCAGGTGAGAAACCAGAAGATGAGAAGTAGAATTGCCACCTTAAAAACATATTGGCAGATTTCTCTGTTTCCAATCAGTTTGGCAACAAAGAACTAGACATCAGTAAATGTGAATTGATAAACAGATACTGCAAACGTGCAGTCAGTGTAATGGAACAGAAAAACCAGATCTACACTTATCTCTTACAGTGAATCTGTGAATGTGTAACATTGGCTTAGACCCTATTCTTCTATATTAAATTCTAAACTAGTGGGAAGTATGGCGAAAATAAATATAACTGCCTTCACAAAAGCATTTTTTTACTTCTTTGGAATTTGGTTTTAATCCTTGCAAAATGTACAGGTAGCCAAAGAAAAATCAGCTTAGCAGCTGTTGCCTTGCCTTCAAGTAAACATACTTTTGTAGTACAAAAACAATTTGGCTTGAATGATCAAAAATTCTGAAAAGTGGTGTATCAAGGATTTATTTAGTTGTGACTAATATGTTTGAATTGATAAAAAGCATGCTGTTCTGCAAAGTATAAATTACAAATCAGCAAACTTAATTTAATTCATTGATCTAAAAATTGCTTTTCTTTTGGGCAAGTTAAATCATGTCAAATCATGGTGATTTAAATCAATTCACCCTTATTGCAACAAGCCCCAAGGCAATATACATTGTAATTCGCTCTTTAAGTTCAATCGTCCTGTATTTGTTCTGCTCAAAGAACAATCCAGTTGCTTTCCATTCCTGGGAAAATCAAATGCCTAGATAAACAGATATGAGCTACTGTAACATAGGTATGTTTGTATTTTAAGATCAGGTTTCTACCCCTAACATAGCACACCAATCACTCTTTCTCGCCAACAGTTGCCCATCAGTACAATTTAAACATTGGCAAAGCAGCACAAGGGGTTCCTGTGAGAGTTATCTTAAACTTAAAAATGCAATAAAAATTACCATATTTTCGCACCATAAGACACACTTTTTCCCCACAAAACAGGGGGGTGGAAAGACTGTGCATCTTATGGAGCAAAGAAAACAGATTATATGTTCCTGTTTTCTTCTCCTAAAAAATTGGTGCGTCTTATGGAAAGGTGCGTCTTATGGAGCGAAAAATACGGTAATAACAGCAAAAGCACTGGGAAGTGCCTTAGCCCTTTCTGTGGAATCTTTTCTCTCAACCTAAAAATTCCCTGAAGTTTTAGAAGTCCATTCAGAAAGTTAACTGAGTTGTCAGAGCCTGGCAAGCTGGGTCCAATGTTCATGTGATGCATTTAAATACTGCAAATATTTGTATTAGTTTTAAATATCATTGCTCACCCTGAACCCTTAAGAACACAGCCAATGAGAGAACCTGAAATGTCTTTGGAGACAGAGCCCAACATATGTATTGGTCAGAAATCAATACATCATACGCTATTTGCAGCTAACAAGAGGCCTTCTAGTACAATACTTAAATCACTGAACCGTCCCCCACCCATTGTGGGGGAATTCAGTGATAGTGTTTAGAGCATTGCTACTAGTGTTTAAAGCATTGCTACTTAAAAACACACAAAGTCCTGAAGAAGTATTTATTGTCTTGCTAGAAACCTGGAACATTTTAGGTTGGTTAACTAATTTGCAGAGGGTGCAAAGTACTGAAGGGGACACTTTTTATTTTACACATTGATGATTTCTAAAATGCTTCAAATATTCTTCTGTGGAATAAGCCATGTGATATAAAAACACTTTAATATAATACTAATACTATACTAATAATCTTAAAATTGCAGAGCTGGAAACAGCCTCTATGGGTCATCAAGTCTAGCCCTTGTCAAGGAGGCACAGTGGGAAACTGAATACACACATACACACACACATAGCGTATCAATTATAAAGGCAAATGTCATTGAACCTGGCATTTGTAATAGAAACCCTTTTTTTAAATGGGAGGAGGAGGAGAGGAAAACAAAAGAACAGGGGCTAAGTTTAACTGGCAGCAAAACATGCTTTAGCATTAAATTCAAAGCAACTGCAAATATATAAAGGAGACACCCTTTAGTGCTGCAAACAATTGCAGTATACAAGTCATTGATATTGTAGGGCAAACCTTTGGCACTGTAGATATTTTGGACTCGAGCTCCCAAAATCCCCAGCATATATTGCCAATGATAATGGACAATGGGACTGGGAATGGCAGTCCAAAACATCTAAAGTGCCAAAGCTTTGCTACCCCATCTCTGCTCTGGAGGGGGTGAAAAATTAATGTAGAATGGTCTTCAGAAGATTCAGTTCCCATAACCAGAATTCTATTACTGTTTCCTAAGCATTAAAACCAACAGCAACCTGTAGGTATGACCACACTGTAAAATAAAACAAGCAAGGGAGGAAGCGAGCCCCACTGACCCAACAGTAATTACACATTACTCAGGAAATGCTCAGAACACACATAAGGGTAGTTTAACAAAACTATAACAAATGCTGCTGTGACTTGCATTCTTGCACAAATCTTCAAAGCAGCTAGTATTTTTTTGATGCTGACCAGTGATATGCTTTGATTTAAACGGTCGCTTTTACCATAAATGTTTCTATCAGAAAAACACAAAGATGCAGCAAAGTTTTAAAGTGCTACATGACAGTGGAGACTCTATCCTTTAAACAGCTTGCTATGCTACATCTTCTAATTAGGTATTCACCTTTAGTAATTATCTCTTGTAGATCCATGTGCTAAGTAATTCACCAGCAGTGAAGACTTCCAATACGTAGGCAAAATCTGAATAGATTATATGTATAAAGACACAGAATACTATAAATTATTTTTGATATTAAAGTGATCACAGAATCAAATCTGCCCACTTTGGGAGTCTTATTTTTGCCAACTGAGAATACCACCAAGGAAGGCTTTCTCAAGGAAAGATGCAGTACTACTTATTTTTTAAATGTACTTTTGAATCTTTGAGAATGTTTTAATTCAGCTGCTGCTTTAATGTGAGAATATGTTTAACTGACTTCAAATGGCATAACTTACTGTATTTTTAGTGATTTCCTGTTGATCATTTTGTAAGAGGAGAGTAAGTACGAGCTGTTAATAGAAACCCCCTGTGGTCAACACCGTTCACCTGCTAGTGCACTCTCAGACAGATCTGTTAAGAGTCACACTGCAAATCTGTCCCCACTGAACCTATTTTTTCTTCCATATACATATAGAAAGGCAGAAAACAAGTAAGCAGGTAACATGCTCAAGAAAATAGGCAATATCCTGTTCAATGTTTGTGCAGCTTACCTGTCTGCACATGTACCTGAACTGGACTACACCACTGTGCAACAGAAACTTGAAGTTAACAATCTGCTGAGAACATCTACTTTGGGATCCATTAGAAACTGCACTTATATTCATTTAAAGAAAATGCAATTGCTGTTGCAAGTTGACATAAGTGAAAGACTTGCTTGCCGAAAGGTGTTTATGCTACTGCCCTTCTGCATTGACTAAGAAAGTGTAATGCGTAATAGGATCCTAGTCAATGCAGATACAGTTATCAACATGTCAACCTCTTCATCACAAAAGACCAAATTACAGAAAAGACAAAACACGTAAATGTCAAATAAGTATGCAGTAAAAATTATGCAACTCAGCTTCATAAAGAAACTCACAGAAGATTCTAGAATTCAGAAAAGAACGACATGCTGACAAAGGAGCAACAGTGAGTTGGACTTGTATATATTTGTGGAGAAGATTTTAAACTGGCTGGCAACCCATTCAATTGGCTTCACAGAAACAGTTCTCAGTTAAGAAGCATGGGTCTGGTATTACTAGGGGAGAGGAGGGAGAGAGAAAGAAAGCAGAAGACACATTCTGGAGTGATTAAACTTTGGGGAGTGGAAATCCTTGAGGAAACCAGAATGTGTGAGTACACAACCAACTTTCTGAAAATTTCCAGATTTCTCCCTCAGGGCCATCAGCCAACAGAGGAGCACAAAATATCGTATTTTTCGCACCATAAGACGCACTTTTTTCCCACAAAACAGGGGGGTGGTAAGTCTGTGCATCTTATGGAGCGAAGAAAACAGATTATATTTTCCTGTTTTCTTCTCCTAAAAAATTGGTGCGTCTTATGGAAAGGTGCGTCTTATGGAGCGAAAAATACGGTAACTTTTTCATCTGACATTCCCACCAAAATTCCCATGTAAGTGGCAGCAACATTTTAAAAGTTTATTTTCAGAAGAAAGTAATGACAATAAGGCGTATTACTGAATGAATTATATTTTCCAGTGGACTTCAAACAGACCTAGGTTTTCATCAGACTTTCTCTGGTTATTCCAGATTATTCAGCTACATCTGCTGTCCATTTCTGAGACACTCATCATTTACAATAAATCATCATCATTTACAGTAAATGATGAAAACATCATAGTGAGGAATGCACACTACTACAAAACGTATTTGAAAAAAAGCACTCATACACTAAAAGGGAGAAGAGTCTGTGAAAATTATATGTTCCCTGAGGACATTTGGTGCGATTATGCACCAGACTCCAGGCTTTACCCATTCTACATTTGGGCAATATATTCCAGGCAATGGGCAAAACTTAACTGTGTATTGCCAGCTGCACAGAATTACATTCGAATTATTCATGTCATTTTCCATGCAAGCCCTTGATCCAAAAAGATCCACAGCATCTATTTTCAAACTCTGCTTACTTGCATAATGTGATAGTTCTGTTGATTGTATTTATATTTTAATTTCTGTATCTCCACTTTGCATTAAATATTTATTTGACTGTTGTACTTCTTACCCTCCTTTTTATCCCTTCCATTTATAGCCTATTCATTAGTCTGTTATTGGCCCAAAAGACAGAAATGCAGAAGAGTCAATGCTTTGTTTCTAGGTCACTGTACCACACTGTCTGGGCAGACATAATATACTGTAAGCTACTAGCCATGAGCAACATGCCATAAGATGATGTGTGGCTTGGATACATCCTCTTTGACTTTCAGCCAAAATAAGATCTGAAGTATGCTGTTGTCTAAAAATTAAGCATGCTTACATCATTAATTCTCACAATTCCACATTATACTTACTTTTGACAAAACTATTTATATCCCGCCTATCTGGTCATTGTGACCACTCTAGGCGGCTAGAACTAGTGAAATGGTTTTGCTAGCTAGGAATATTGGATTATGACATCTGTGTTGATTAAAATATGTTTGTAGTTATATAAATATATAAATAATTAAAATGTTCCTGTGAAATATCAAATATTAACAAACAAGTTCCTGTGAAACACCATCATCTAAACTAAGGGAGGGAAAGCATGAAAGTTTCATTCATATCAAAATTTCACACTAACTGAACTGAAAGTTACCCAACTACAGTCTCACTTAGGATGTTCATTTTTTTTGCTGATGCATAGGTTGATTCATGTTGACCAGCAGTTGCTAGAGGCAGTCAGATGAATACATGTTGCTAAGCTTTCAGGTTTAACAGCCTCCTATTTGCATAAAGGAGCACCTTCAACTGGGAACTGCTGCCAAAAATACTGACAGCTGAATGTATTATTATTACTATTATTAGTTTTATTTATATGCCACATTTCTCCCAACAAGGGACCCAAAGCAGTTCACAACATTAAAATTCACACAATTTAAAAACACAACAAGTTAAATATTAAAAGATAAATTAAACAACATATGATTTAAAATACAATTAAAAGATTAAAAAATGAAAATATAAAATAAAATTTCAACAAGTTAAATATTAAAAGATAAATTAAACAACATATGATTTAAAATACAATTAAAAGATTAAAAAATGAAAAAAAATTAAAAATATATGCTAAAATGGGGTTCAGAGATTCAGTTATAATTGTTAGCTGTTTTCAAAAGGATAAAAGGGAAGGGGCCATCCTGATCTCCCAAGGGAGAGCATTCTATTGCCTGGGATTTGCCACAGAGAAGGGCCTCTCCTGTGTCCCCATCACCTGTGCTTGTGTTGGCAATGGGACCGAGAGGAGGGTCTCCTCTGCTGATCTTAATTGCCTAAAAGGCGCATATTGGGAGATACGGTCCTTCAGGTAGCCTGGACCCAAGCTGTATACGGCTTTATAGGTAATGACCAGCACTTTGAACTGGGCCCGGAAACAGACTGGTAACGGGTGTGTTATATGCTCTTGTATGCTCCCTGCAGCTGGCCCCAGTCAGTAGCCTGGCTTCAGAGTTTTGCACCAGCTGAAGTTTCCAAACTGTCTTCAAAGGCAGCCCCACATAAAACATGTTACAGTAATCCAAACGGGATGTAACTAAGGCATGTCTCACTGTAGCCAGGTCCAACATCTCAAGGAATGGGCACATCAGGCACACCAGCTGTGCAAATGCACTCCTGGCGACTGCTGAGGCCTGGGCATCCAAGCTTAGGGATGAATCCAGGAGTACATCCAAGCTGTGGACCTGAGTTTTCAGGGGGAGTGTAACCCCATCCAGCAGAGATAGTATCCCTATTTCCTCATCTACCTTCCGACTAACCAGGAGCACCTCTGTTGTGTCTGGACTAAGTTTCAGTTTGTTTGCCCTCATCCAGCCCATTACTTATGCCAAGCACTGGTTCAGAGTCAAGAGAGCTTCCCTGGAATTACAGGTGGAAAGGAGAGATAGAGTTGGGTGTCATCCACATACTGGTGACACCAAACCCCAAAACTACAGACAACCTCTCCCAGAAGTTTCATGTAGATGTTAAAAAGCATGGGCACAAAGCAGAACACTGAGGAACGCCACAGGCCAATGGCCAGGGTATTGAGCAGGAGTCTCCCAGAACCACCTTCTGAGTTCTCCCCTCCAGGAAGGACTGGAGCCACTGTAAAACAGTGCCTCCAAGTCCCATCCCAGAGAGACAGCCCAGAAGGATACCATAATTGATGGTATCGAAAGTCACTGAGAGGTCCAGCAGAACCAACATGGACATACTCTCCTTGTCCAGTTCCCAGTGCAGGTCATCCACCAAGATGACCAAAGCTATCTCTGTCCCATAGCTAGGCCTGAAACCAGATTGAAATGGAACCTGCTGTGTTTGTGTGACCAAAAACAACAACATGAACAACAGCAAAAACCAACCAATAATAGAAAATAAAATACTGTCCTGGACTCTGAATGTAACAGGGTGAAAGTAACACATGTGAATAACAAAGATGTATTCTCTCTGCCCTCAAGATACAATCTACACATGCCTACTTTACTGCAAGAACTGCAGAACATGAAAACAAGTTCTATTTTACATTTTGCACTGCTATATATTGTATTAAATCAGTGGTTCCCAACCTTGGATAACCAGGTAATCTTGAACTACAATTCCCCAAAATCTTCACCACCAGCTGTGTTGGATGAGGTTTCTGGGAGTTGCAGCCTAAGAATACTTGAGTTACCTAAGGTTGAGGACCAGTGCATGAAAGTATATATTACACTCATATTCCTGTTACAGCAGTTTGGTGATGATGATGAGTATTCACCTCAGACCCTGGCCATGCTGAACAGAGTACTGTAACGGTTTACTTTTTCCACCTCTGACTCCAATGCAGATAAGCAAAATTTGCCTGACAAAGGCAAACTTGTACCATGAGCTACCTAGTAACACTATTATGTTATTGGTACTGCATGTTACATGAAAAAAAAGGGAGATCCTTTTTTTGAACAATAGTAACACAATTACACAGAGGGGCTTCTGCTTTAAAAAACACAATTACACAGAAGGGCTTCTGCTTTAAAAACGCTAGAGATGAATGAAATTAAAAAGGACTGAAATTATGCTACTTATTGAACAAGCTACTGGATGAGGTGTGTAAGTGCAGGTAACACTAATTAAATGATCTATAATAAATCAAAGAGAACATAAATATTTTCCTCAGTAAACGACTTTAGAAGATGGCACAAACATCTTTTTTTCATTCAGAAATGCATCTTTAAGTATTCAAATTTGTATCTAGAAACTCAGTAATAGTGGTAATACTGCGCTCCTATGTATAAAGAGAAAAAGATTTAAAAGTTAAAGTAACTTAGTATGACCCCACAGCGCTCCATAACTTATCTGCTCCAGAAGACACAGTGCTGCCATATGAAGACCCTGGCATCATATGCAAAAAGCTGGAATTTGCTAAAATCCAACAGAAAGGAAGCCATGAAAAGAAACTTTTTACAATCATTGGTATTATTGCAGCTTGCTCTCCAACTACTTACCAACACTTCCCTGTTCCTGCTCTTCCCCTTCAGCAAACATAGGCTGGTTTGGTAAACTATTCCTAGAGCGAGTGACAGATTCTAGTTGTGAAGCCCTTCCTAACAGAGATAGCTCATCAAGCACCTCTCCCTCTTTGGCCTCTAAGTCAGATTTTGAAGTTGTTAGTTGTTTTATGTTATCTGGCATCATCAGATTTGGATCGTTCAAGCAAGCTACAGTACCACTATCCAAGCTTAACACCCTGGTACGACTCTTGGCACTGTTTGTATTTGAAGTCCGTCGTGCTGAATGCTTTTTGCCATTTGCCTCAGAGCCCAAGTAGATTTTGTAAGAGTTTTCCAAGTCTGTACCCTTCTCTTTCGCTGCATATTTGGTCTTTAGGGCATTATACTTTCCCTCAGGAGACTGGCATGAATGGGAGGTGGTGCTAGAAGAGCTATCACTGCTGAACTGGTGGGCTGACTGCATACTTGAGGTCCTGCTCAAGTCACTTTGATCACTTGAGTCTTCATCATGGCAGGAAATTGCACTGTGGGGTTTGGTACCAGATATACCTCGAAAAGAAACATATTCCTTGTGTCGACTTGTGTCAAAACTACTAGCCCGTTTTTTCCCTGTCCTCCTCCTGCTGGATTTGTGAGCTGAAGCTGTCCGGTGAATTAAGCTGCAGGATTTAGGCCTCACATCCCCCTCCTTTTGCTTTCCAACCATCTCTTTACAAGTTCTTGAGTCAACTAGGGAAGATTTCTCTTTCTGCTCATCTCTTTTCTCAGCAGGTTTCCCAGGAGGCTGGTCTACATGTGTCGTCAGTTCATTTGCATGAGGATTCTTATTTGCTTCTTCTGAAGCACGGCCACTAAGCGCCCTCTGGTTGTGCCTCTCCTCTGGTGCATTTGATCCTCCTTGATCCTCCTGAATGAAACTGCTCGCACTCACTTCAAGAGCAGTTCCTTCACTGTTAGTCCTTTTGTCAGTCGCAAAGCTACCCTCATCAGAATCAACAGAGCAGTCCTTTTTCTTGCTGTTCATTTTCTCTTCTTTAGGGGACTCTTCATGCTCAGACAGCACACTCTCTATATGAGTGGAGCTTGTCTGCTCACTTTTGTAGCTGCTGACAGTACTGATAGTATCACGATCAGTCCCACTGCAATAGCTCTCTGTTGAGCCACTACTTCGGGTACTAAGACTTCTGAGACTATCCACACTTTTGTCTGCTTGTAAGGATTTACTCTTGCTGCTTTTGGCTAATAACTGTGGACTGCTACATTTCAAAATATCATCCAGCTGAAAGACTCCAGAAAGGCAGGAGTTTTCAGCTAAAGATTCTTTGGATCCCAGTCGGGGCTTGGAAGCTTCTAACTCACTAACAGTATCCAGTCCTCGCCTTTGCTGATAGAGGGGGAAGTCATTTAGTGACACGTCTGGAAAAGCAACTGCTGAACTAGAAGTCCTTGGCACTCCTCGTGGCCTATGGTCTTTTCTATAGGAGTGTGAATGCAAAGGTACAAGGGAAGCCATTTCAGTGTCACATGCATTGGACATAGATTGATCTAAGTGGTGGTTGCTAGGGAGGCACACTTTTTCCGTACTATCCCTTGGTAACTCTTGTGCAGATGATAATGAAGGTTGAATGGACACAAAGGAATCAATGGAGACCAGATGGAAAGTCTTCCGATCACTTGCCAAATCTGTTATAAAAATAAACAAAAGGGAAAATTCAGAGAAGTGTGCAAGTTATTTGAGCCCTGTGCAGTATATTGCTTTCAGATGAATACATTTCAGCATTACACAAACACTTTTCACATGTGCACATTATGCATTTACAGAATATAAGTAGTTTTTATTATGGATTCCAGTTTCAATTACTGTGCGCACACCACATCAGCTGTAATCACCACTATTAAATTACGCATGAGACTTACAGCCTATCACTTTCTTAATTATCCACTATATAAGGGAATCTATTTGAGAGAAGATCAGAGTCCATCAACAGAGCTCTATAAACAATGGCAAATGAGACGACTATGACGTGGAATTAAGATTAATGCTGTTGATAAAAAGCCTGACCCAGCAATGAATTCTCCATCTATTATTAGTCTTGGTCTCTCATATGCTTCCCCCACTTACTGTGGGGGAAAAGCAAATGGACTCTACATTGTTTATTTAAACATAACTGTTCACAGTAGCTATCCATTCAAACAAAGCATAGCCCAGTTCATGTGTTATAAATCTTTTTGCACTCAAGGACACAAAATGCCCCAAAATTAGTATAGAGGGAAAGGGATCTTTTGAATACAACATCAAAACTGACCCTAGTCTGGCATGCTCTTTTAACTGCTGATACTAATTCAATTTATTTTTCAGATATGGAGGTGGTGGTACTGGGTATATAGGAAGATGTAGGAATTGTTGTCTGATTAAATCTAAATACTGGAATGTTAAAAGAAGGATATGGTGATATTTGCCATTTCATACTTCTTCCTATAGTAACCAGTATCAATTCCCATGCTATTTTGGAGCATAGCCTGACCATCTGGAGAAACATAACAGGCAGCACAGGAGGGCACAAGGAGAATTAGCCTAAATACCCCCTCCCCATTTCCTTTACTGGGAATATTCATTGAATCACGCAGGTCTTTCACTTGCAAAACAGTATATCTTAAATGCTTCATATCATTTTTGCTTTTTAGGGGCTCCCTTTTCCATGAAACCGTAATGTTTTTGGTATCAAATCTCATTTCTCTAGCATGTTCCATATGTACTAAATGGTTGTGCAACCTATTTCAGTCTCTACAGCTGCCCAGCCTTGAAATTGCTAGTATGTCTTGAATGAGAAAAGCACATTCACATTAAGCTTAAAGAATGGAAGCTGGAAATAGAGTGCTACAAAAATCTCGACATTAGCAAAGAGAGAATATAATAAATGGGGCACAGATTTTCATTAGACAATTTTGTCATATATTTCTTGCTATATGTAACAAGTGTGTATATATCTGTATGGTGCTCATTTAATAGCTTGTAACTGTATTCCAAAAATACTGTAGTATATAATCTTGTGTCTTGCTGACTTTACAAAGTAAGAAGTAATAATTTCCCACAGAATGGGGGAAGGTTTTTTTTCCCAGAGAATGGCAACTCCATAATAATTTTTGTCTCTAGCTGTATAAAGTTATGCTAACCATAAGAATGTTGAATGAAATAAAATGCAGGTTGGATCCAACAGTTGTAAAGGGTCCACACAATCCAGACTGAAGTACATCAAGTATATCCAAGGCTAACAAATGACAGGCCTCCTCTAGATCTGGAATGAAGGTAACCCATGTGCTGGTGGACCTATGCAAATAGACTCTTGTGACACACCTGCACAGTTTCCCACCCTTCAATAAGAGCATCATACACAAAATTTTAGATTATTTGACTGGCTGGCGGTTCAACATCTGGACTAAAAATATAAACCTAAAATTCTCAGTCTAAGACAAAACAGAAGATGACCAAGCACAAGGTGAACAAAGATTCAGGCCATCTTTTTCTAATTACATCACACCAACCTGTTTAAAAAGCTAGCATCTCTCCAAGAAGTACTGGAGGATTGGTAAAATAAGGCAGTGTTAATCTATCAAATAAAATTAGAAAAGGTGTGAGGGAACTA